TAGCAATCCCAAAATCCATTGACAAAAAGGTTGGTATAAATTAACACCATGTATGCAAACTGCATAGTTGCTTGGGTAGAATATATTTATGATCAGATAAGTAATGGTGTTATATGTTAATGCACCACATATCTACAAGTAATAACAATGCACTTAATTATCTGATTTAGGTGTACATATGCATCCTGCATATTCAATTAAAAAGCACTCTATGATCCTAAAGGGAAATTAAACAGTTGCTCTTATAGAGGTTTCCTCAAGGAGCTCTAGATGTTGATTACTGTATGCAGGAAGGATCTCAGTAGTGGTCTGTGTTGCAGCAGGTCTGTATTTGCCTCTGCCTGAGGACGCTGCTGCATGAACATTCAGGTGAGGATTCTTAGGATGTGTCCACGATTCTTTTCATTTTCGTAAAAACACCCTCAGATATTCCTGATGGATTTTCAAGAACAAATCCAAAGGTTTTGTCTTAATGTGCAACTTGTTTGTTTTGCTGTAATCTCACTGACAGAATATTGAATACAGGGCTGTCAACTCTCCCCCATTGGGAGTGAGACTCACCCATCTCAGTGTCTTCACACAATCTCTCCATATTCCCAATTTCTCACACTAAAAAATGACATACATTAAAACTCAACTCCGTTCCACTCATTTATATATAAAAATACTATGGTGATCAAAATCCATTTCGCATCTTTAATACAACCTTAGTGCTAACAGATGAGGACAAGCAGATTCATATCCAGTCTATATTCCCTGTGCCAGATATTGAAAAAAAGACAGTTATGAAGTATGTCATTTTAATTTTGATCTTATCTTATTTGGACTAGGATAATTCTCTTTGTAAATTATTAAAGATTTTAAGCAATCTTGTACTTGAGTAAATATGAATAAAAAATACAGCTCACTTGAATTATTGATGTGAAGACTGAGTGTAGGATCACATAAAATGTTTTTTCTCTTTACACAGTGTTTTTTTGGTCCCAGTTTTAGTCCATGTTTTGCTCACAAGTTAAATAATTATTGCTCAGTCTAGTTTAATAATCTCCCGTTGGGATTTAGGAGTAATTAAACCAACAAAAATATTTTAATTCTTCAAGCTTTCAGGTTTGTCTCTCAAACCCATAAGAGGTCAACAAAAAGAAAAAGAACAATTGCAGTTTATTTTTCAAAAGATCTGCCACCCAAGAAAATACCAACCACATCCAGAGAGGATGTGCAGGACAACTCAGTTATCCTGGATTCATAGAGGGAAAAACCACAGGAATGTTCTTCTTTCATTATTACCTTGATTTATTTTTATTTTGGTCAATTAAATATGTTTTAAAAACTTAATTTCCATCACACCTTTCAAACTGAAACATCCAGAGAGGTGCTGTCTTCTGTCATGGTGAGTTTTTATAAAATCTACAGCCTCCTAGAAGGTCTGAATTGTTTAGCTATTTTGTGAATTGTAAGAAAAACTAATAACATAATGAATGGAGCTTTTTTAATCCTTAGCCTTTAAACAAATATTCATACACAGTGTAGTTTGCATGGGTTTCGATTGCACTGGTTCCTGTATCAGTGCCAGTAATCCAGTAATAGCTTGTTAGTTCCCCATTGTTTAATTTACTTGAACTGCAGAGAATANGGGTTTCGATTGCACTGGTTCCTGTATCAGTGCCAGTAATCCAGTAATAGCTTGTTAGTTCCCCATTGTTTAATTTACTTGAACTGCAGAGAATAATTAATGATATTTAATTAATATTTGCACCTTAATTATATTTAAGGTGCAAATATTTCAGAAGGGCCCATTCTGCTTTACTTAAATTCTCTTAAAAAAAAATCACCAGAATGTAGAAAATGTGTATTGTAAAAAAAAAAAAAAAAAGTTCCTCATAACTACAGAACACTTATTCAGTAACATTTACTGTGCTATTAAAATTCCACATTTTGCCGCTTTATTTCAGTTAAATCCTCTGAAAACCTCCAACCTATAGCTGCACCTGTCCTCATCTAACCCTGACAGGATGTCCTGTCCAAACTATTTCAAAATCTCACCCAAGGTTTGGTGAAAAGTTGGCAGCCCTGTGAATAAGCATTTTATAAACAAATGTTCAAATTAAATCTGAAGATTAAAGCAATTGAAGTAATGGTAAAAAAAAAAAATACAAAGCAGGTTCATTATCTGACGTTAGAAGCAGACTCCCTAAAAAACTATGGAAGAGGGATAGGGCTGGACTGAGTTAAAAAAAAAAAAAAAAAACTGATTTTTTAATTTTATTTCAGTTTAATATGGAAAAAAAAAAAAACAGAATTCTGACTTTTTTCTCAGAATTCAGATTTTAATCTCAGAATTTCCGACTTTAATCTCAGAATTCAGACTTTTTTCCCATATTAAAATAAAATATAATGTGAAAATTATTAAACTTTTTTAATTTTTTTAGTGGCCTTAATCCTCTTCCGTAAAAAAAACAGATACCTGCATGCATCAAATGAAAACTTTGTTGTTTTTGACAAGCAGTTTTCCCGCTGGTTCCGCTGAAACGGGTGTTCTCCTTTTTTGGATACTTTGACGTAAACCCAACGTGATGACGTCAGAGGGTGTAGCCAAACAGAGGGCAAGAGAGAGGACTCACCCTACAATGGAAGGTTTGCGTTTCTTTGCTTTACACACCGAAATAAAGTGAATTTTACCATAAATCTCTCAGTCTTTTTCGCATAACCTTTCATATGAAGGCCTGTTACCGCAGCAGTAGTCCTGAAGCTGAAGCTTGGTCAAATACGGTGAAATGTTAATGTGGACGTTTCTGAAAAGTTATCAAACTGTAGATATGTCCCGATAAAGAACTTTTAATTACTAAAAGTTTAGTTCGACAGTTTTGCAGACGAAAATATACACTTTTATGAGCCTCTGATGCAAAACAAAAAAAGAAAAACACATCAGTTTATTCTGCTATCTGTCCATGAAAGCTAACATGTCTGACATCTGAAGGATTTGTATGATTTTTTCCTGTCCTGCTCAGAAAGTTTTCGCCAGCAGCTGTTAGAGGACACCGCCTTCCTCCGAGCAGAGCAGAGGCTGGACACAGAGCTGGTGGACAAACTCATCCTGCAGCTCAACAGGATCTATCCTCAGATCCTCTCAGACAAGGAGGCCACCAGAGTGAGTTATATCCAAAGAACAATCCATGCAATTAGGGGATTATCCACACCATAATCTGAGTGCAGTTTTTTTAAGGATTCTTTAACATTATTTGGTGGAACAAGCAGTTCCCCATTAACCAGAGGGTGGCAGGACTGACTATTGACAGCTTCAGCATCAGACTCAAAAGGTCTTAAAGGAATAGTACACCCAAAACATGATTAGCCTTCATTTTCTACTCACCCCCATGCTGAACAACA